CTGCTGGAGCCACCCCAAAGAGAGAGATGAATGGTGATGGATGAACAGTTCGTCCAAATAGTCCTGAAAAGGTATCAAGGATGCCTTGCTAACATCCATATAACTTTGGACAAGTCCAGAATGTGTGCAGAAGTGTGGCAGGAGATTGTTTACAACGATCACACGACGGATCCAAGTCCTTTTTGAATTTGCACAATCTGTCCTTAGACCAGTGTAGATGATGTACTACCTTGAATTGAACTATAACATGTTTCACACACATTGAAGACGAATATATATTTTGAATAATTTTTTTGCCAAACTGTGTCTGATATGGAAACTTGGGCAGTTATTTTACGATGATGACAATAGTTGTCTCCAAGCTGTTGCTTGTTTTTCATGGAGCTACTGATAGAAGCTGGCATGTCAAGATCATCAAAGTTAGCCATCTTGTGTGAGCTGGATTTATGCAGTTTTTCCCTTGAGAAGTATTCCACCTGTTTTATCAGCTGTTTCCACTACAAGACACTTGATTTTATTTTTCTCGCAGTCATATTCAAAGAAATCCCAAAGTGGACGTTGCTGCTTTCTCCCAACTTTTGCTGTTGTCATTTAGCAGACGAGCACTGAGCATCAGCAGACTGTAAACAAGTGTTGTTACAGACCCTGAGGTGCTGCAAGCTGCCCACAGCTAATGTGAAACTACTTGATTAGAAAAAAAAAGATGGCTCAAAATAAATTTACAAACATTAAAACCAAGGATATTCTATCTATAATTTCAGTTTTAGTTTTGTAAAAGATTATACAGTTTTATTTAGTTATGTTTTTTATTTCATTACAGTTTTTATTTATATTAGTTAACTAAAATGTTTTTTTCATTATCAGTTTTTGTTATTTAGTTAGTTTTAGTTAATTATAAAAACCCTGCTGCAGAGTGCATTTGTTTTGAAAAGGAAAAATTTGAGACAGACAAATTTTTCTAAAGTTGTTGCTCATTATTTTGGTTTAAAGAATTCAAGACAATTCTAGCTCAGTTAATCACGATTTTTTACAAATATTTATTAAACAGGTGTGAAGCTTTATTTGATTTATCTACCCTTTATTTAACCAGGCAAATCCCATCAAGATCACAGATCTCTGGGCCTGAAGGCATCCTATTGTTTTATTATGTTTTCTGGTTTATGTATTGAAAAGCAACAATATCAAACTAGCGGTAATCATTTTGAATGCTGCTAGTCAAGAAGGATGTTCAATTCATTCCTCCTTAGTGTGTAAAGGAAAATGAAATGCTGTTTACTGGTTCTCTACATGTTCTTGACACTGTATTGTAAACTTAATATACAATAGGCTAAAATGGCAGAAAAATTGCCACTCTTGTTTTCTGTTTTGGTTCTATTTCTCTATCTTTTGCTTTGGAGATGACATCTTGTTCTCTGTACATGTTAACAAAACTGTTGTATTTGTTTTTTAGACTGATGCAGACAGTTTTTACACGGCTTGTAATGGACGCCAGTTTAACTCCATTGAGGAAGCAGTGTGCCAACTGGTCTATGTGGAGCGAGCAGAGGTCATAAAGTCAGAGGAGGTATACATCCATTTATAGAGAAATAGATGCTGTAACTAAGACATTCATAAACATGACTTTTTTTCTGGTTTAAAGATGAAAACATGTTTGATTTCTAAATTCTTCCTGACTTTAATACAGTCTATGATGAGTTAATTACTGCAGACATCACTGCAAACATTCATTCATCCATCAAAGATTACAATTCAGGGGACCCGTATTTAAACTTGGTGAACAGACAAAATTTGAAAAACGCATACATATAGAGAAATCAGATTAATCAAACTCTGTATGCATTAGGCCAAGGCGATATGGTAAATGGTAAATGGTACTGAACTTATAGAGCGCTTTTCAAGTCCCTCCGGACCCCCAAAGCGCTTTACACTAACAGACATTCACCCATTCACACWCACATTCACACACTGATGATGGCAAACTACACTGTAGCCACAGCTGCCCTGGGGCACACTGACAGAAGTGGGGCTGCCATGCATCGGCGCCACCGGACCCTCTGACCACCATCAGTAGGCAAGGTGGGTGAAGTGTCTTGCCCAAGGACACAACGACTGAGAAGGTTGGATGGGGGATCGAACCAGTGACCTTCTGGTTCCAGGACGACTCCCCTAACCACTCCGCCACAGCCGCCCCAGACATACAGACATCTCCTGTCCCGAATGTGATATTGAAGCTTGGAAAGTTGACACGTTGAACACAGCGAGGGTGTGCGTGCCAACAGTGCCTTACAAGGCACTGCGCATCATTTAAACACATTATTTACAACGTTTTTGCTCCATTTACATAATTTCATAAGTTATAAAGTGTTCTGCTGCATGTCATTTTGGAGAATACTACAACAACATAAGCGCCAAGTATAAATGCCTACACCGCCGGTGAGGGTGCGCGCCCGGTGCGAGTGCTCAAAGCGAGAGCCTGCGCTGCCCTGCGGTCACAGCTCAGCGTCAGCCAGAAGGCTACAAACAGAAACCATTTGCATTTGATTTTGCTCCTCCTCTTCAGCCTTTTTTATGCCACATTTTACGCGTCAGATATTACTGGCCAAAACCCAAATTGTTTTCAGTGCACTCCAATTCAGCCTCCATTCTTTACCAAAAGTAAAAAAAAAAAAAATACACCCAGGAAACAAAAAACACCTATTAACAAATGGGATTCAGCCCATTTATATCCAGATAACAGAGATGCCTATTCACATTGGATTAGTATTATCACAGAACGTCGGAGTTCATCAAAATACAGTATATTAAGCAATTTGCAGTGGAAATTTTTACTTTACAAATTACTGACATGGCCGATTTACACGGAATTAACAACACAGACAATCTCTAATTATTACAAATAGCATGGGGTCCCTAAGTAAAACTAATCCCGTCAGAGTAGGGCTAAAGATAGACAATAAAATATAGTAATTAGGCTGTCAAATGATTAAAATTTAGGTAGCTGTAATCACGATTAATCTTAAACTTAATATAAAACTTTAAA